CGCCACGAACGATTACTATTCTCATTATCTACTGGTTTGTGTCCCATTTAGTTTTTGAGTCAGACTTTAGTTATGCCTTAGTATCCGTGCCGCTTGTGTTTTGAATTTATTAGCGAAGCTAAGATCCTACTTTCTATTGTTTGTTTTTTTAATGTAGACAAATGGAAATTGGATTTTCGTAGAGAGAAATAGTTGGAATAAATTCGTGGACCTTTCTTTAAGCATTATAACAAAAAAATCTTTAAGTGGCCTAATATCTTCCTTTATTTTCCTATCAGCTGAATTTTCATTATGGTTTCATTAATGTTATATTGCTTAATAATATCTTTCAACATATTACAAAATTACATCACTAGATGGACAGAATCCCCTGCATGTTGGGAACCCGACGGACCCCTTTTCAACGCAGTGCTAGCTCTTCACCTTTGGGTGCCAACTGAATGGCGCCGTAGGCGCATCCATATTTTGCGTCGTCTTCTTTGTGCTCTACATGGTCGTTGGAAATCTGCTCCGACAACTAGCGTCATTTCAGTAACCGCAATATCTGGGAGTCGTGCTCCGGCTACCACAGCTTCCGTTAGCTCTGGCGAAGCAGAGCCACCAACTGATAGCCCTGAAACCGGCCAGCAGCCTGTGCCTGCAGAAAGCGGCGAGGAAGCAGGCATCATTACTGCACTCGGTTCTGAGCCTCAAAATGCAGAAGTCCTAAGTCATTCGACAGGCGAGGCGGCCGATTTTGCCATAATCAAACCCTATCTTATCTATATGGGAATCATAGACGCCATTTATAAATACCTCTTCAAAGTGAGTTGCCTGCTTTCCTTCGTTTTAAACAATTCTTTCGTTTAAGTATTTTAGTTTTAGATTCTTATTACGTTCATGTAAAAACTATTTTTATTCGAAAAATCTTTTTATGCTATTCTGATCGATTTACTTAAGCTTTACTCGTATTGATCTTGAACGTCTCGAACACGCTTTTCATTTAATGTAATAATGGAGGTCATTCATTGATTAGTTGCAGAGGTCGATAGCCATTCTGCTTGCTATAAATTGTAAAGGTCAAATAAAGGCTTATTTTCACAGTGTCGTTTTAATATTCTTGTATTACAAGCCGAATGTAGCTAATCGGCTTTATTTGGGGTTATCGCTTGACACCTTATCTCATCCTATTCCTATTGGTGACTTTATTCTTTGTTTATTTTTAAAGCTATCGATGAATTACTGAAATCTTCGTTTTACTTCTAACGGAGTGAAACCGAATTATACTGATTGTCCTATCCGACATAAGGACGCAAGGAAGGAAAAAAACCGGATCGATTTGTGAGAAGTTGCAACATATAGATCTCTATCCAAACCACTTAAATAATCTTATTAAAAAACTTCCGTCTGGCCTCCCTCCAATTGCCACGTCCTCTTATTAGAGTCCGACAGGTTTTCTTTGGGTTGTTTTATATATGAATTTTATTTATGAGCACCTATGACTATTTATCATCAAGCTAGAAAATGTGATTCCATATACTTCAAAAACGGAACAATTAGCTTTTATCCTCTAATTTAGTTGAGCCTTCTTCCGATCTGAATACTGTTTATCAAAATGCAAAGTAT